TTTCACATCCAGAGAAATATTCTGCCTTTTCAATATTTCCTAGGATATTTCATTTTTCTGGGAGAGGGCTGGATGATAACTTCCCACAATACTTTGCAACTTTAATAAGATTTGTATGCCGCCCACTCCCTAGGGTTATAGTAGGTTATATTCGCATCACTCCTGATCAATCTGGACTACATAACCCGTCAACTCGTCTGCGAATTCACACAATCATGCCCTGTATTATAAACTAACCGCGTCGCCTTGGCTTGCACTGCACACAAAACCGAAAGAGCTGCCTTTTACAAATCGAAACTCACCCATATTCCTTATCATGGGAGTGCCGTAGCCAAAAATCCACCACCGAGTCCAGTTCTTGAGAGATCCGTTCCTGCCAGCTGTGCAGCGTTTTCTGCCAGTCCATTTCTGCTACTTGGTCTAATTTAGCTCTGACAAATCCAGAGACCTAATTGTTGTTACCGCTGGTGAAGCAAATCGAGGTATCAGCACATTTTTCTATGTGACCCAAGTTATTTTTTTTTAAAAGCTAGCTAAAATTTTGCAACCAATTAGGGAGTCGCCGATCATATGATTGCTTGAGTCACCTGATCCTAGTCCAAAGGGGGGAAGCGTTGATTTGGTGTTTCTTTTTCCTAGAATCCTTTTTAACCCTACAATTGCTGCAAGTTGTTCCCCAGCTTGGCAGAAAAATAACAAAAAAAGAAAACCAAGATAACTGCTATCTTGCACTTTTAATTCCCCGGGGCCGCTGATGTAGGTGAAACTTCCCCCTTCTAAAATCTGCAGAACTATGAGTCGATTCTTTGCATTTCAAAGCACTTCGGTAAATCCGTACAGAGCAACTGATGATCTAATTCTGGGCGTAGAGACAAATCAGAGAAGCAGCGATTTATTTTAAGCCAAGGGCGGGCAATGAAGATTGATCCCACTGGTTCGCCGCCGCGATTTCTCGTGTGTAAATCAACAAAGCGTTTTCCATTTCGAATGATTGAGTAATGGTGACAACCAGCAGTGATTCTCTTCCCCCCCCCCAGACTAAAATTAAGCTGTTGAAAACAACAAAGATGGTCGAGAAACAGGAGCAGATTTGGTGGAGGGTATCTGCGCAGAGATCTCCCTCCCTCACGCCCTCCCTCCCTCTCCCTCTCCCTCTCTCTCTCTCTCTCTCTTTGCCTTCTTGAACCTTTACGCAGCTGTGTTCCGCTGCGGGCTTGAGCTGTGCAGAAAAACAATGTATCGTATTCATCTGGAAAGAAATACATATATATCCTAGATTTAAAGTGAGCCTACCACTCCCAAGTAAATAGATGGGGGAACCATCCCCGACTAAGCCAATAGTGTCAGGGCAGGCAGAATTCCTCCTCACATTAAAAATGCAAAAAACAGTATTTCCCTTTGCATATAGCAATAGCAATAGCAGTAGACTTATATACCGCTTCATAGGGCTTTCAGCCCTCTCTAAGCG